CCTTTTGGTACAGTCAGCACTTCTTTCATTTGCATACACAGCTTGGATGCAAGCTAGCAAAGATAATCTTTCAGGGAGAACAGGGGGCATTTTAAATGTACCCTGGAACACTTTCGCAGTACCTCCCTCCCAGGGACTGAATTAATCGTTGTGTAAAATGCTTCTGAGAAGGAACCAATTTCCTACCCTAAACCTGTATGCAAAGGGGACACAAAAGCCTTAACCTCTCTTTTCTTGGATATATTTTAGGAGTTGCTGTTAATAAGGTTTTATTCTAGTGAAAAACCTGAAAATTTTTGCTTCTAGATGAGGATCAGACACAATTATCAGCCTAGGCTAGTAATAAAATAAAATATAATTCTTGAATTGCAAGTTTCCTAAAGAGGTTTCAGTATGCTCTGTAAAATGTTTAAGTTATATTTCCCATAAATGAAGGTAGTATGAAAAAATTCAATTACTTGCTACATGATTCAGAGAATATAAGAAGTCATGGGGAAAAACGTTAATGTTCACTTTTACATCTTCAAATTCTAGGTTTCACTTCTTAAGCTGAAAAAATATATATCTGGGACTTGTTTTTGGTATTTAAAAAATGAGATCCATGAGTCAGAAGGTTCCAGATTCTCCTTGTCCCAAAGAAGGGATTTTCATTTCAGTCACTTGTTTTGTTAACACAATGATTGGATAGCAGTGAAACAAACACTAGTGCGGGACTTTTTTCTTTCAGAGAGGAATACAGGCTTTGCTTAAAATAATGTAAGAAACACATTTGTATCCGAAGATGTATATCACAGCATTTCCAAGAAGCAGTCTACTGAAACTTACTTGTTTTTAATGAGTAAGTATAAGTACACCTCAATTAAGGCTTTCTCTGATACCACATCAGACTTGCTTGCATTTAAATTATTGGGTCAGCAAGAAAGGACAGTGGAACCTTTTATTAGCAGCTGACTTCTCTCAAGTCTCATTTTACGTTTTGGGTTCCTAAGCTACTCAACTGAAAGGAGATCCTGTTAAAAAAATGGAGGTGAATAACAGAGACAACAGAGACAAGGCAGCTGCCAGACGTCAGCTTCCACTATGTACTTCAAAACTACTGGTATCCTCACTGATATTATACAGAACCATAATGTAGTACCTGTCCTTGTGAAACAGGCAGTCTTTTTAATTTTCTGGTAAGAGCTTTTAATGAGAGAAGTCTAGGATACAGAGTTGAATATTTTCTGAAAAGCAGTTTTAGATGAAGAGGTTGCCCATCAAGTAAGAACCTAAACTAAAGAAACTAAATACTCATTTAAATTATATTTCACCTGCTGAAATCATTATGGTGGTGCTGTTTTCTAAGGAAATCTGTACTATTTCCCTACAATCACTGTCTGATGTACCAGAATATCTCAACAGTGAATTTCATAACACTCTTATTTTTGTCAGGAATTCTTCTTATGTTGGACAGCCTCATCGCTCGTCTTTACTGGTGGTGTTCTTTGAAAAGCTGCAGGATGTCTTAATTTCACTTGAATTTTGGGGTTGAGGGTTAATTAGTGTACAAATGACAAAGACACCATGTGACCTCTAGAGAATATATAGCCTCTTATCACATGCATCAGCAAGTACATCTGAGATGTTTTGGGCTGTTTCTCCCTTGCCTTCTTGGCTGGAGCTCTTCCCAGCTCTTGCTGGACATACACAGATATTTTTGTTGTTCTGGTAACATGAGAGAAGGTGGTTGATCATTAGTATATGATGAATTATAGAGCACATACAGACTAACAGGTCTACTCACTATAGAATACTAAATAATGAATGTGGTTGATATCTTTTTAATGAGAAAGTAGAATAACAGAAAAGGCCTGTTGTTAAAGTTGTGTTTTCTTTGAGATACAATATCAATGAGCTGCTTGAGAAGCAGATGACATACGTAATTAATCCCCAGTGTAACTTTACTGGACTCCATTGATTTGCATGAGATTAATTTTCTTAATTCTTTTGGGGAGAGAAAAGTTGAGAATTACATAGTAGGAAAGCTGTCTAGTTATTTTCTTATGTATGAAACCTTTTGGTCAGATTTAGTAGCTCAAGTGCTTTGGGAAGTTGGGAATGTTAAAGGGAAATAGAAAGTAGAATTTAAATTTATTATCATGGATTGCAAATATTTAATGACTATTTTTTCCAAGTTGTATTATTAACGACTTGTTTTATTCAGGTTGTGTGAACATAAGAAGGAAGCCCTTCCCTTCCTTCAGTATCCGAGAGCCTTTTGCTTAGAAATTTTAGCTTGAGAGGCTTGTGTTCTTCCAGATGGGTATGATTTTTCTGTTTTCTTTTTCTCCTATATTGAGTCAGAGGGTTAGTGAAGCCAATTCATAAGGTATTTAACCCCTTGTTAGGAAAAGTCACTCAGAGTAATAGATGAGAACTGAGATCTTTCATTAAGCATGATGTGTAACAGAGGTAGGATTCAATGACAGAGGACTGGAACAAATTGAAATAGCCTTATTTCAAAAACTTCAGTGAGATATTTAAAATTAAATACCCAGAATTATTAGAAAAAAATGTAAAAAAGAGATACATTGCAATCATTAAAACCCTTTTATCACAAGGCAAAGTGATTGCACATCTTGCAAGCATTAACAATTCAAACTCAAATACTACCCTACAGAGTAAGACTTGTGAGAAATCTAGCAGTGACATGCAGCATGAATTTTATATTTGCTGAGTACCACATGAATAACCCACTGATTTCTGTAAGGAAGCTTTTCCCAGATGGTGTATGGCATTTTGGCAGGAGATGGATTCCTGTTCTCCCTGCAGTTAATTAGGTATGGCCCAAGCACTTACTTAATCCTGCTTGTGCCACAAGTATTCACATAATCTCACTTCTTGATCACAAGAAACATTCAAATGCTGTATTATTTGTGTTATGATACAAAGATGGCCCCACTACAGTGAAGTTACCTTGAATTTCCTCACAGTTGAGATGTGAAAAATAGAAGATATCCCAGCAGGAAAGAGCTGAGAGGAAGAGTAGAGGAGTCACAGCAGGAATGCAGTAGTACAGCTAAGTTGGTTCAAGTAGTTTTTGGAACTTGCACAGTTTTGTTTCTGCTTCATCAGAAGACACAAACTACTGTTGTAATGCGAGACTTTAAAAAAAAAAAAAAAACAACAAAAAAACCCAACAGTCTAACTACCTAAATGAGCTGTACCTCAAGTGAATTAGATACTGTGAACTTCTACCATTTAGGTAACCTCTGGTAGTCATGTATTATTTCAAAAACTAGTTAAGGACAAAGTTCACCTAAATATTTTTCCCTTACTTTTTATCATTTAATAATTAACTTAATCAAGAGAAATGTTCTACTAGTTTACAAATGTAGTATTGCCTAAGAAAACCCGTATACAGAGCACCATCTAGTGCAGGATATCACTAACATAAAAGCATTTTGGCTCATATTCCACTTGCCTGTGTTCAACTCATGTTCTAAGTTCATTTAATATGAGCTATCATGTTGCATAAAGTGCTAACCAGGGGATCCCATAGCAATATAATTTTGCAATTATATGACAGACCATGGATTGAAAATTGTGACCTTTTGCAAGGACAACAAAACTGGATGCACTGAAATTCAGGTAATAATTTGTGAGAACCATTTACCTGTAAGAGGAATCTATTTATCTTCTGCCAGTAGTGTTGGGTGACATATTCATTAAATAATTCAGTCCAGTCTGTTCTCACAACTGCCATTTTAAGTGCCTTAAGAATGTCCTTTAGCTGCTTGGAGCCTTTGCTGAGGTTCTGCAGAACCTCAGAGCTACCCAGGTTCCTTAAGACGGACAGTCAAAGGTATGCAAAGCACAACTAACAGGTCTTCATTCTGACAGGAAGGAAAAAGAAAAAGCAGCTTAATTCTGTACTAGAGAAAGGTAAAAGGAACTTATACACAGGTGTTAATGGCTTGCCGAGGAAGGACAGAAAAGTGAGCTACAAGATGGTTTGCTTGTGGTTTTTATGCAAAGGCCATATTTTGCTTCTTCTGCAAGCAAACAAACATGAATTTGGCCCCAAGGTTGTTTATTCAGTGTTTGTGTATCAGCATTATGTTTCTGATTCAATCTATTTACCATTAGGGTTGGACTAAGAGGACCTGTCTTAGTTAACTGAAGATATAGCAGTGACAAGCTGGATTTCATCCTGCATTGAACAAAGATTAAGAGGACCCTCAGATATTTAGAAAAGAAAAAAAAATTATGAACACTATGTATTAAAAAAAAAAAAAAGCTTAATTAAGCATCAAAAAAAGCCACTTTCACTGTAAATTTTTATACTCTCTTTGAAGAAGCACTTCAACAAAAATTTGAACCTCCCTCTGACCATATGGATTTTAGATGAATGTTTGAAGCCTTACCAAATTCCCAGTTCTCAGACCTGCTCTGAGAAAACAGCAAGCATACTTTTATACTCATTTCAAAATACTTCCTGGTTTTGAAAGCTCCATTTTTGCTTTCCAAGTTGACCACTTAATAAACAATTAAAAAAAAAACAAACCAGAACAACAGCACCCAAAAAAAAAAAACCAAAACAAACAAAAAAAAAACCCAAAAAACAAAAACCCAAAAAAAACCCAACAAAACCAAGCAAAAACAAACAAACAAACAAAACCCAAACCCAAAACCTCCCTCCCTTATTCCAACAAAAAAAAAAAAAGACAGCCCACAAATAAGTGCAAATTTTTCAAATTTTACATACAGAATACTTCCCTGGATACTTCTGCTCTTTCTACCTCTGTTGCCAAAGAGAACCTACTGCTGAAGGAAAATGAAAAAAAATTAGCTTGAGGAGTGAACTAAAGGAACATGATAGGAATGTTCACAGACCTGGCAACCTGTGGTTCAAATCCCCTTTCTGGGTGTACCATTTCAAGTGCAAGAAGAAGTAGCTCTAACAGAAGAAAACGCATTCTACATATTCCAGGAAAAACAATTGCTGTAACATAAAAGGCTCTGTTACTGCTCATTTAATTCATCTGGGATTGTGGTTTCCATTCTTTTACTCTCCAATATGTTGAGCAAATTCAAGAACACAGACACAGAAATAAAATACAAGAGTGTTTCCCTTGAACAGATACTACAAAAAGATATATTTTTGATTCCACATTGCTCTAGATACCTTATGTTCTTTATTAACATGACTGACAAAACATTTTTATTATTATTTCCTCAATTCTTATTCTTCTTCTTTTGAGTTCTGTGATTTCTATGAAATAGTGTGTATTCATTTTCAGCTGTTTGGGAACAATGTTCTGTCTAACAACAGAACAAATAATCTGACCTGTGCTCTGCTATCTTGTAATAAAAAAGACTATTTAGAACATGTTTGTACCTGTTGAGGACATAAATTCATATGAACAGGCAAGCCTGACAAAGGAAAGAATTCTCTTCCAACCTTGTGTCTTGCCTGGTAGCTATTAAAACACTTCCCTTTTGAAAATAAATGGATGTTTATTTAAGAACAATTATATGAGCATTTGAATTACAACACTTTCACATGCTTTTCATGTGGCCAGAAAGATTTATTGCACAAAGAAAGGCCGTGGAAAAGTGGTGGAAATTAAATACAATATTTGCATATTGCTGACAATATGCTAGATGCTTCCTTGTTCTGAAGAGCTTTCAAATAAACATATAAGTGCATTAGAAAATGTACAAAGACAGATTTGAGCCTTCATTTTAAGATTTACAGTATAGAAAAGGAGTCAAATTTTGTATTAGAATATGTCAAAAGCACCCTAATTCAGCCAAAAGATTTCATTTGGGTTCTTATAAATAAAGAGGATGGATTTATGCTGCAGTATAAAAAAGTTATCACAGATTTTATGAGCACTATCTGTGCATTTTGAAAGTATTTTTTTTAATGTATTAAAAATCCAACTTTCCTATGCATAAATCCTCCTTGTCTTTTATTTTGGTGTAATATGATCTGCCTTGATACTCTCCAAATTCATGAGTTAATCTTTCCATTTTCCTGGTAAAAACTAAAGATGTTTTTATAATTTCTACATAATGGCATTCTGGGTTGTTTTGGTTTTTTTGGTTGTTTCCAAATAATTAAAACTTTCTCCTCTTAAAGTGGAAAAATAATTTGAAAATCATTATGGGAAATACTGTATTTATAAATTTTTCAATTACTCCAAAACTTCCATCACATTATTAATAACCCATACCTACAGACATATGCATAGTTACATAGGAACCCAATTTAAGTTATGTAATAAAATTGAATAAAAATTCTTTATCAGATTTTCTGTTTTATTCTTGAATTTCTCTTACTATCTCTCCCTCTCTCTCTCTCTTTACTTCCCTCCCTCCCCCTTGCCCCTCTTACACACACAAATGATGGGCCTTCCTCTCAGACACTGAATGTAATTTGGTGTAACTAATTAAACAAAGTTCAAAAGAAGCAGTTGAATAACTGTTCATTGGTCCTCTCATGCATGGGGACAGGGATGTGCTAAAGGCTAGACATCTCCAGCACAGTATCAGTTGATACATCAAGAAAAAGACTGGATTATCTAGAATATCTGCTATTACCACAAAAAAAAAGGGAACTTAAAACCTCTACTGCAGATTTTCATTGGCACATTTTTTACATTATAACATGAGTTTAAGTGCCTGAACCCTGTTTTTTGCTCCACACTTTTGGTTTATTTGTTTTGGGTTTTTTTGCTTAGGTATAGCATGATTTATCTTATTGAGTTTGTTTCATAAGAACTCTCTTTCTTCCCCTTAGTTGTTACAAACATCCTCCCTCCCTTATTCCATGCAATTCTCTCAAGGATTCTTTACAAACTTTTGTTTCAGGAGGATGAAAATGGAAGGAAAAATTGCCATGCAGATAATTACAATTCAGCTGTCCTGTATTCATAGCAATGTAGTTATAAACTGACCTTTACCAAAATTTAGTTTCAATTATTTTAAGCATGATTGAAAGTGGCTGCCACATTCAAAACTATTTGAACAGGGGGAGAGAGAGTGGCAGTTCAACCACAAAAGCAAAATTATTTTAGGAAAGCAAGCTTAGGTTCATATTTTCTTTGAGGTCTTCATTTGCATCTGCCCAGCAGAAATGGACTACATTTCATTGGATAGTTTTCTAGAGAGTATTCCTATCTTCTCCATGGCAGCAAGCACTAATCAGCAACTCTTGTTATTCCTGGCTATTAGAGTCTATTGTAGTGCCAGGCACAAAATCTAGGGGTAGGCAAAGTCTCTCTTACCATTATTCTTGTACAAGAAAAATATGGATACGCAATTTGAGATGGAGAAAAGCCCAGAGAGCTTAGACAACTATACAGGGAGAGGAGAGGAAGTGACTGAACAGGAAATTCACAATTAGAGAGTTATAAATTCGAAAAAGCAAAAGCAAAAGCATTACTGTTACGAAGAAGGAGAAAAGCATAATTACTTACCATCTAAAAACATTTTGAAACATTTGAAAATTATTGAAATGTTGTGACCAGCCTCAGCAAACAACAGACAATTCACTTCTCTATGCTGGATTCAATTGATTGTACCCTGGTAGCACCCCTTCTCTTTCTTCAGTTCCCTGCCTCATTCTTTAAACCTTTTATGTGTACTATGTACACAACACATCCAACCATTACATCAGAGGGATTTACAGGAAACTAATTTCTAAAGTCTTGAACCTTTCCAAAGCAGATATGTTCCATCCACTGAGTAAACATTATGCTTCTATTTGAGTATGGTTTTTTAATTGTGTAAGTACAATTAATTTTCGTGTTTGAGACAGCAGAGTAACAATACTATTGGTTTTAAGTGTGCAAGGATTTGGAGTTACTGGAAACCAAAAATTTGCTGTCTTAATGAAGATGTCCTTATTCTTAGGTGAACACTTGCCTTTTTAAAAAAATACCTGGATCCATTAGCATTAATATTTGTATCTAAATGTTCATAGGCTAGCTTATCTTTTCACTTGCATCTCATAAAACTACTGGTTGCAGAGGAATTATTCCAAATTTTTATATGCATAGATTGAGAAGTAAAAATCTGCCCGTTTTAATTTGGAATGAATTTCCTAAGAGATTAATTGGGTGAATATATTAATAGAATATCTAAACAATATTACATTCAAAGTCTGCAGGTCTGACCTTCATGACAACAGATTTTAGGGAATACCACCACCCATGCCAGGTGTACCAAACAATCCCGTTGTCTGTCTTGGCAGTGTAGGGACCTCTGTAGTACAAACCATTCAGGTTGGCAGAGTGACACCTGGTGGGAAAGTAAAGGGAAACAGCAATAAGGTCTCCTGCTGAAAAGTTCCACGCATTTGTTATTTATTTCTCTGCAAGTCAAAAAATTTTGCCATGTTGATGCCAACCTAGTTTGACAACTGCATAAATTTGCATTTGTGGATTCTGTGTGCATAAACAACAATGCTTTAATTGGGGAAGAACTGCAGATATTTTTTGCTTCTTTTAATCAAAAGTGCTGCTTTTTCTTTCCATGTTTTCTGACATTACAGCTCTTGGAGTTTTTCCTGCTGATTTCTTTCAGTGGAAAATTTTTCCAGAATTGTTCAGGATGGAAGACAGTAGGGCATACACCACACTCTGGAAAAGAAATACTGTTGTGTTTTATTGTTGTTCCAGAGTAGCCCCACTTAAGTTTTCCAGTTACACCACATGGTATTTTGTATGACAAAACCTAAATATCACTAACGGTTTGCCTACCCACCTGTGGACTTCTACTTACAAAGATCAATTCTGACAGCTAATTACACATGTGTACCAATTCACTGGATCACCAGAGTTGGCATTTTATTTGACTACATAATGTTGAGGGGGTTTTGTTGCTTTTTAACAGGCTCAGGCACAAATGCAATTATAGTTTATTAAATACAGTGGTTGAAACAAACAAAAAACCCTAGCAAAACCCAAAAGGCTTGAAAAGGAAACAGCACAACCTTGATACTTGCCTGTTTTCTACGAGAAACAAGCTTAGATCATTATGTGAAGAGGAAACTGGCTGTTCCTTTTGCAGCACATTGTGATGAATCACCTTGGTTTATCTGCCAATTCAGTATTTCATTATAAATGCTGTTAATATCTAGCTGTTGAACACCACGATGGATTCCAAAAGCAGGCTTCAGAAAATACACACACAGAAAATATTCCAAATAAACCTTATGAGTTTTGCTACTTACAAATCTTAGTCTTTTTGGCTTTGCTTATACTTCATTAACAAAGTTTTTGAGAACGGAGATAAAAACTATGAGAAAAACTCCAAAGGAAAATTCTCATCTATATATCCTTATTTATTGCTTACAATTTTAAAAGTCAATTTTGATAAGTGTTAATTGAAAGCTTATAAATTGTGGACATGAAAAGTGAGTTTGTTTTTGAGAATGACAAACTTTTATCAGAGCTGACATAAATTCTGCAATGAGCAGGCACTCTGCCTACTTTGAATCGAAACACAGATTTCATTAGAAGAGTCATAAGAAGGCATACCCTAATTTTGCCAACAGCAATATGAGGCAGTAAAAAGTCTTAATTAATGCTGGGAAGCATGAATTGTGAAAATTAGAGTATTCAGTATCCAACTAGATGCTCTCTGAAGTAACTGTAAATACTAAGTTAACAACTGGCATGTGATAAGATATTGTGAAAAAACATTCATTATTCACAAGTTAATAAATACTTAAAGTTAGCCTGTGTTCCTCCTATCTTTTCAATAGTCTAATATAAAGTTTAAAAGTACACTGCAATAGTTTCAAAAGTACAGCCAACTCTCAACTGTCCATGGATATTTTATCTGAATTATGTATTAACTGTGTGACAGCTATAGAGAGATGGGAGTTGGTTCCCTGAAGAACCCTTTGAATTCTGTTCAGATTTATTGACTCCACAGACCCCACATGAATGTAGTTATGGGGTGATTGGTAAGGCAGGAAGCTTGACTTAGTGATATCTGGCCTCAGGTTGTTGCCCAACAGATCTCTCTTACCATCCATACATGGTATAACAAAATAGGAGTGCTGGGAGAGAATAAGCTGATGTCCAACTCGAATTGTTCACTCTCACTACTTATGAACTACTTATGAGCTTTGCAATGCTCTGGGTACTGGGAGCTTATGACCTGCAGGTAGTACTAGAGTGAACCCAGCTCTGTGGCCTTGCATTCAAGATAAAAATCTCTGCTAGAGCTTTGCTTACAAAAGGGGTCATTTTTCTGCAGAAGTCCAGGACAACAAATGCTGAGCTAGAGCGAAACTGGTGGCTTTAAACTAGCTTTGAGCTACTTCCATGTGGCTTTACTTGTGTCACATCCCTTGGTTTTCATATTATCTGGGCTTTTCTGTATTTCATTAGTCCTGATAACATAGAGCTGGCTATGAACAATCCCTTCATAGCTGGGAGCTCTTATGCAAACCAGCCAAGAGCACTAATTCCTTCTATATTTGCTAATCTGTGCATGACAAATATGTGTTTCTGAGTGCTTTCCTTTCTCTGCCAGTACTGTCCTTTTGAGTAGGACTTAATGATACTGACATTTTCTAGTATTTTACAATGTTCAGCTTTATGTTAGGCTTAACATTAAAAATTCAATAACAAAACAGTGAAATGACACTTTTAGTAACTAATTTTCATTATCAAGCCAGACTGTCACTTTAAGAGATTGAGCTACACAACCATAATAAGAAGTAGCCTAGTAGGAGTCAGCTATCTTTAGAAGTTATGTAGCACCAACTACAAGGTATAAATAACTGTCAAGTTCTGCTGTGCAGCTACTTTTGCAAAGTGGTCATTCTTTTGTCCAGGTCAATCCAATATTAAAAAAAAAAAAAAATTTTTAAAAGGCAAAAAAAGAATTCAGTGGTCTAAAAGTGATTGTTAATTCAGTCTTAATGAAATCTATGACATGATATCAGTTTTATGTGATTTGAGATCCAGATACTCCTTTAAATTTACAAAAGCTCTGATTTAATGGGAAAAGAAGCTCCAACATAGTTGCCTTTCCCTTTTATATCTTAGCTTCCCTGAGAAATGCAAAACAACATTGTTTACATGTGCTTTTTCCAAGTCTCAAACATTCTGCTGACTGGCTATCCATGCAAATATATTAAAATGTATTAAAATAAGTAGCTAATTGTGAAACACTGAGTTAATAGCTACATCATATCAGTTATGGTGGTCACAGACTACTTATGAAAACAGAATTTGGCAAATGAGGAGTTAAAAAGAGAAACAGAGGATGACACAACAGAAACAATGGAGTTGATCCAGCCTGGCACCTCTTGCCAAGTGAACTGAGATCACAGTGAGAGAGTAGTGTTCCTCCCTGAGCTGTATTTTATTTCTCTCTATTACACATCTATATTGCAGAGTTTCTCTTCATGGCTATATTTATTTAATTAATTACAGAAAATAACATAGCTGATCTGTACAGGCTAAAGTTACAATTTTTATCCTTTCTTTTTGATTTGATATATTGCATGTTAGTAGAATTTTTAAATTTTCTTACTGAGCCCTATTTTAAAAAATCTTTCACTTGGTTCAGACATGCACACTGACAGAAACTGAGTAGACATATTACCATCTCCATTTCGAAAGAATAACAAGAATGAGATACTGTGAAGTGAGGTTAAAAAAATGAGTCTTGATAACCTGGCACTAGTTTAGCTTGTCAGATATTTGCAATGCTGCCACATCTGGTCTAGTGCAACACAAGAGAAATGTGAGAGTGAAGTACAGCAGGGATGTATCTGCAAACTCTACACGACCTACTTGTGTAAAAACTAGTTACCTCAGGGGCGCAGAATTATCTCCTCCTCAGTGCCTGATAACAAAGATGACCTGTGACAAATGCCATTGTCACTGACCAGCCTGAGTGGCACAGTAGGTGCTGTCCCTTCTAAGGTGAGCCTCAGTCTTACCAGCACTGAGATCTCTGCTAGGGGAGAAGGGCACATTGCAAATAAATTAACAATCCCAGTCTATCTTCTAGAATATGTTATTATTTTATGAATACACATGGAGCAAAACAGTTGTCAGTACCCATATGAAATCAAAATACCTGTTAAACCACCAGCCAGCCTTTTCCTCTTCAGCACAGTTCCCTTCATAGTTGTCATTATCCCTGTCTCTAGTACTGAATTTCATTCCTCGATGATCAGCCCACCATTTTACTTCAGGATGAAATCCACCAGTAAGGGAATCACCAGCTGTCCCAGAGTATTCACCACAACTCATCTCATAAGAGTGCTTATTAAAAAAAGTGAAGAAAGAAAAAAAAAATAATTCCTGTATGTCTTTAGCCCTTAGCAAGTCAGAGGGTGAAACCACAAAACAGAACCTAACCTGTTCCATTTGCTGCTATTATTATGCTAAGAAATGTCTTGGCACTTACACTCAATATATTTAGTACTGAAAGGCTATAGACATGCTTAACAGGGATAAAATGTGTCATTAACTATATGTATCAATGACTTAATAAAAACAACATTAGGGCTAGTTTGCAGTATACATTAGCAAATAAGAAGATCTACCGTTATTGTTGGTAACATCAACAAACATGGAAAAACTGCTTTTAGCCATGTCTGCTAAACCAAGTGATTCATATCTCTTACAGAAAGTGTGAAATTAATGTATCAAAGTAAACCACTTTTAGTAGGTATTTGAAAATTATAAGCATGTGTAAGAAATAAAATATGGTATTAAGGTTCTACACAAATCTTTATGGAAATTAGGGGGCCTGTATGTTTATTGTTTGTCTACAGAATCCACATTTTCATTAAAAACTTTAGTCATTTAATATTTTATTACCTCTTCTCCTGCAACTCTGAATCTTGCATATTGTGCAAAACGTCGTTCTCCTTCAAAATCAGTTAGATCAATTCTTAATGTATAATTCCCTTAAAAAAAAATAAAAAAAAAAAACCGAATTATTTTAGTTAAACTAGCCTATCTCACTACTTTTCAGAACTGGGCATTACAGTAGAAGATTAAAAGAAATGTTTTTATTATGAATCTCTATCACCTCAGCATATTTTATGGGGTTTTATCTTCTTTATCATACTAAAGCATGTATTGCTATTCTTTGCCTTTATTCACCTGAGTGAATTCTATTCAGGTTAGAAAATTTAAGAATTATTCTAATACAAATTTTCAAATGTAGGAAAAAAAATTGTAAAAAAACATGGCCTTACAGGTTTTACATTTTAGTACAATATTTGAGGTGATAATGAAAGCATAGTGAAAATTGATCAGTAAATGTTCACCTATGAAAATTAGATTTTTTTTACTCTGAAAATAAAGAGGTTATACTAGGATCACATCCTGATGGCACTGATTTCCATATGATTTAGCTGGCTAAGCCAGTGGGTAAGGCTCAAAACTGTCCTTAGGCCTGTAGCATTCTGCAGCATTCTACAACAGAGCAGATGTTAGTTTACATTGAGTGACTATTAGAAAGATGGAAATAACTTTCTACTACTGGCCTAATCAACAGGAGTCAACAAGAACTTCTTCCATGTAATAGCCCACCCACCTAAAAAGCCCTGAATAAGTATACACCTGTCTCTGGACTGTTAGTGATGCTGATGGAAAATGGATAGAGACAATTCTTTTAAGGTAGACTCCTGTCTCCTGTTCCCTGTTTCACAGGGGCTCTCAGTATGCCAGTGGCCTAAGTTTTGAACTTTTTCTTAGAAAACATTTATTCAAATGTGGTTTTTTTCCTGAAACTTAGAGAAGACCATGCAGACTAACAATGGAACGCAGGATTTATGATAACAAAAAGGGGAAACAAAGAAAAAATGGCCAGGAAACAGCAAAGAAACAGAAACAATAAGTCTATTGTTACAATACCAATCTTACCTTGATTAGTCAAATAATGAAGATTTTTGTTTCCAAGCCAAAATTCACCATTTTTCAAAACAAAATTTCCAAAGCCTTCTTCATAGTCAGCCCAGAGTCTGAAATGGGTATAAATTACTAATTTCTCAAAAAAACAAGTTTGTTCGGATGTTTTATAATACAATTTCAGATCACAGAATAACTAAAACTGGAAGGAACCTCAAGAAGCAAGCTAGTCCAGTGTCAATCTCAAGCTAGAATCAGCTATGAGATCAGACCAGGTTGTTCAGGGCTTGTCTGTTCAGATCTTGAAAACTTCCAAGGATGGAGACTGCACATTCTCTTTGGGGAACCTGCTGACTCTTTTCATGGTGAAAACGTTTCTCCTTATATCCAGGCTGAACCTCTCTTGTTTCAGCTTAGGTACTTAGTTTCTTATCCCCCCACTAGACACGTTTGTGAAACACATTTTTACTCCAAGGGCTCTCAGATTGCTTACTTTTTTTCTTTCTTTTTTTTTTTTTTTAATTTTACTGATTGCAGAAAACAATCTGATCCTTTCCTCATCATTAGGAGTCTTTGCTCCAACAGTTTTTAACACATTTGACATTGAAATGTCCTTGTGTCAAATGCACAAGTTGTCAGAAAAAGATTGGAACGGATGTCTCATGGAAGACAGTTAGAACCAGAAGGGCTATCTCATGTGGAGACTGTCCCACAGAATAACCATTCCTCCCTTTTATCTGGGATAACAACTTACTCATATCCTTCTAAAGTTCAATTTTAACTTAGCTCCATCTGGTTTAATGTTTCTTCACTTTGTTTCCAGTTTACCAAATCTAGTACCTACCTATCAAAATTCTGGCTGCCATCAGACCGTCTCTGAAACACAGTCCAGCCACCTCCTTCAGACATGTCACAGAACGCAAAGAATTCTCTAGGACTCTGGATTGGTTTTATTTTATAAAATCCATTTTGCTTATGACCTTCATTGTAGATTTCTGCGCAATCTGTTCACACAACATTAATCGGACACAACATTTTTAGTCCTGTACTACTGGCAAAATCAGAAATCAAGTCAGTAATAGTAATCAAGTCATGTTATGTAGAAGTCACATATGAGCCACACTAATGAAATGTCTCTGCAAACACATTTCTTTGACTTTTGGGTATTTTTTGTACTTGTGTTGCTTTAAAGTTTTTCTGGGCTGTAATTATTTTGATATATCTTTGAAATAATATCTTCACACCGTGAAATATTACAATTTTCATTTCTACTTGACTGGCAAAAAATTCTGTTTTAAGTGGTGTCACTTTTAACTTACAGTGGTATAATCCACATTAGAATCCTGTTACAACCTTAAAATTTCATGAGCAAACATGTACTTTTATGTCCAGAAAGTTCACAGAAGTGCCAGAAACAAAAGTATGGAATCTCCAGTGTTAAAAACAGAAACAATTGCAAGGCCTGATTCTCCTGTCCCTTCTACCAAATAGGTACAAAAATATACAGAAGACTACGCCCAAAAAGTGCAGTGTATGTGTAAAATGATACCACTTTGGCTTGGTACCATCCACAATCTGGTCTGCATTGCTGTTGATGAATATAATTTGCAACAATAACAAAATTCAGAGCTCATGGAGCTCTGAAAAATTCAGAGCAATGTAATGGTATAATCTTATATACTTTCCTCTAGGAATTAAGAAATGAAAGGAGTTCTTTGTTTATATGTAATCTATCATCAGGCAGTCATACAGAAAAGATATATAATTTTTAGCATTTCTGTTTTTCCTGGCTAAGCTAGACCTGATTAACTTTAAGGAATTCTCTGAATTGGCTGAACTTCCAGGCCTGGTTGGAACTTTATGAACTATTACATTTTTCTTCAGTGAAAGTGTCAGTGAAGATTAGATATAGAAAATAAACACTTTATACTGAAAATAAATAGCTATGCCAGAATTTGAATAAACTCTAATAGAAAACATGATTTAAATAACAGCTAAGTTGTCTTTATAGAGAATGTGTGGTTAGCTTAGAGCAAATAGCTTTTCTTGTCCATTTATTTCTTAGTAGGTCAGCAAAACACAAGCATATCTTAATTTTTAGCGGGTGTATATAGTGTGGAGTTTCCCCCTCACTATCTAACTCAAATTATCCAGATCTGTTGATATTAAAATGCTACAGCAGTTTGAGAAAATAATGCAGTATGAACAGGGAAAATAATTTTCCAAGCTGTAAAGAAAGTGAAATAATAATGGAGGGGAAAAAAAAAGCAGAAACAGGAACAAGTTAGATCTGTTTTTTAGAAAAACATTATAAAAGAATAAATTGAGGCTTATGCTAAGAAAGGCAAATACCTTTCAGAGAAATGTGGCTTTAATAATCTTTTCCAGTAACAAATGAGTCAGCCCTAATAATAAAAATAAAGTGTTCCAGGATGCTGAGTACATAAATATGCAGCTAAAATTTTTAAGTCAGATTTACAACTGCTTTTAATTTCATTTTAATGGTGTTTTATTTTATTTGATGCCTTGGGATCAAATGTTATATATATATATATATATTGGTATTTCTTCCAGCAGCATAAGCTACTACAAGTGTATTCAAACAAGGCTATTAAAAATAATAGTAGTTAAGACTTTCTAGCACTGGACAATTAGAAAAAAAAAAAACACCACCTAGAAGCCAGTCTCCTAAATTGTATTTTCAATCCAACTATTGTTTTGGATGGTTTATTATTATATTAAGAGTTTGGATGATGTTTTATTATATACTTCCACTGTATTTATTATAAGCCTTCCACTGTAGAAGCAGTGGATCACCACCAGAGTGCTGGTGAAATCAGAAAAACAACTTTAAACCAGGATTTTAAGAGCTGTGATGTCATGAGCTGAATTCAACTCAGTGAAAATGATATTAAAGTGAGATGCAGGTGCCATTATGCCAAGTTTATGTATGTAAATATGGATGTCTCAGGGACTTTACAGATTGGAACAAAATCAGTTGCTTGTAACCCAGGCAACCATTTGAATGTATGAATGTGAACTAACCCTGTTGTTTTTGGAATTGTTAGAACTTCTGACATTAGTGAAAGAATGGTGTTTAGAAATCTGTAACTCCTGATTAACATTTTTAAAATTTCTATTATTGGCTTTTATCTGTTGTATTGCTGATGTTTATGCTTCATTTATTGTCCACTGATTGTTTTAAAATGATGCACTACTAATAAATCAGTAAACTTCTTAAATCCTGATTTGATTTCTACCATCTGACATTAGCAATTTTTCCCTGCACAACAGGTCCAGGTAAAAGCTGAGCACTGTGTTTTAAACAAACATTCTACAATGAGTTTTTAAAACCATAACTCAATAGACCCAATTGTGCTAAAGCTTCTGGGTATCATTACAATGAATGGAAATGAAAAGAATAGCTTCATTTCTAACCTGAATACTGTCTTTTTCCTCCCAAATCAATGACACTGTTTTCATCTTCTCTGTCACTGTACTGAATCTCTTTCTTCTCTAATAGCTGTATAATTTTTAACTGCTGCTGTTTCACACGGTGTTCCAGAAGCCTCACCTGGCCCTGAAGTCGTATCCGCTCTTGAAAACATTTCTGTAAATCCTAGAGAGGAAAACATATCTTATTGTAAAATGAACAAAAAATTTTATGTGATATTTAACATGTGACACAAAAAGTCAACCAATCAAACCATAAATAAAATTAAACTTGAATAAATATTTTGGTCACAATATCCCACAGACCCTATATTGACTTCCATCTCTGTTGCTACTTTGTTTAAAATTGTTTCATAAGTTACTGCATGTAATATATAAAACATTCATATTATGAATGCTTTACCTTCTCTTTAGTGCTACTAGCTCTAACTGCAAACATGCAGCGAGGACTTTGGGGAAAAACACTATAATACAGGCCCTATCATAAGGAGGCCCTATTTCTATCATCTTCCATGAATGTAGATTTTTTTATCCAGAGAAGTATGCTACTAACATTGTGAAGGTTCTAAAGAGTTTTAAAGAAATGCAATCGACATGGATATGTTTTCAACTTCATAGTGCATTTTTGAATGCTTTTAAGTTACACACTTCTTATGATAAGAATCTTAACACTGCCAACATAAATATTGTTAAGTTTTAAGCTCATTTTTGGCATGCTAAAATAATCTCTAAGAAGTCCTGAATATACATGAAAAATAAAAGTTAAAACAAAAGTTAAAGTCAGTGTCATTCTGTAACTTTTGTACTTAATTTTGCCATGCAGAGTGGGTGAGAAATGTAATTCTGATACAGTGTTACTTAGCACTCACTTGACCCTCAAGAATAGCTGTTCCAAATTCTGACATGCTGAATGCATGCTGAGCAATAAATAATTGTTTTTAGATTAAAGACTATGGTAAAAATAGCCAAAGTAAACAGAACCTGATCTGGAGAACTTAAATTAAAACAGTCTGTATGGTTTAAAATATGTATTAAATAAATTTGATTTCAGTGTGAGGGAGAAAAGCCTTTGGAAACATGACACAGGTTTTGCATCAATAAGACTGAATTTTTATATAAGCAGAGTTTAGTAGCTTGTAAAAGAGCACAACTAGCACTGTAAAGGCAAAATCAAAGAGTGACTTTCTGGGAATCTGACAGGTAAGGTCAAATTTGCTGTAGTTCTAAATTGGTGCTACCTTATTCATAGGAAACATTATTTATATGTAGACCTGCAATATTTGCCATTCATATGGAAGAATGTATACCTCAGAACATTGCCCTAGCACATTAAACTGTAGAAATGTCTGCAGTAGTATACTGCTGTGCATAGGGAGGTACACCTCAGTGCTGTGTATGCATACTTGATGCATACTTGCATTAAGCTCAGACTTCATCCATTGTCCTTGAACACTTCCAGCAAATTGTTCCATTTGTCTGCAATATTTCGTTACACTGAAAAAATTTGATCATAAGACTGTGCAAAACAATCCTGAAGAAAGACTTCTGCCTTAAGTATTACTGAAATGCGTCAGAGACATGCTTTAATTAATACTTAACTGCAATCTAAAACACACGGTGAAATAAAAGAATGGGGGAAAGTATCTACACACATATGCGGCATAGCTGGGCAATTTGCAGCGACCTGTCGGGAGGGAAAGGCCCCGCGACCCAGTGACAGCTCAAAAGTTCTATCTTCTTTAAGAACCTTCGCTTGAAAATCTTTGTTCAGTTGTCGATAGCTACACGAGATGCCTAGCATATCATCCTTTTTTTTTCCTAGCAGGAAACAAGAGAAAAAAATAGTTAAAATATATGGACATACAGAGACAAAGTTGCCACAGTAGCTTAGAGGGATGTTACTTGACTGTATGCACTGGTTAATGTGGGACATGTTGAATATTACAAAGAAAAGATGCACTATTTATGGTGCAGCCTTTCCAGAGTGGCCATCTCAATTGTATCAGCAGCTTCATACAAACACTTCACAAAAGCTGAATTTTCTATTCTCTGGGAATGAATTCAATGGGAGATTCAGAAAAGGCTTCCTCGACAGGTGTCTGCAAATTGTCGGTCTAGTCCTGTGTAAATACAGAAAATTACACAGGACTGCAGAGCTTTAGAGAGAGATAAAGAGACGCACAGGTGTATTGAGAAAGAGTGAATAAATGTTAAAAGTATTGAAAAAATATTTCCAGGCTCACCATGACGAGCTAACGCTAACTATAAAAGAAAAGCTGTCAAAAAAATCCCATGTTCCCAGTCAGACCAAATATTTATTCTAATCATACTAAGTTAAGAGTGATAAAGAAGCTACCCTGCCACAGTTACCAGTTTTACTGAGAAGGTTAGCCCATATCAGTCTTAACTCAGTCCTCACAGCCTTGGAGAACATAGTAACCTGCAATAGGAGAGACCTGGAAATGGTGGCCCCCATTGCCAGGCCCTTGCAATTCCATAGACAAGACTTCAGGTGGGTAACCTCTGTGACACATGGCAAGATCTGAACCACAAAGAGCTACTTTCCATTCTGGAAAGAGCAAGGGACAGGGCATTGGAGGAGAGGCAGCTACAGGCTGCTACATATATTTCTTTCAGGTGAAAGAAATGCCTTTTTCAGTTCTCCTTTCACGCTGCTAAAAGCCATTCTCGTGCTGTGATTAAACTATATAGTATAAGTATAGAACTTCTGAAAAAATATTATCTTACCTTAGAAAAACTTGGTATCTAAATTCAGTATGATGCTACTTCATATACTACTTCATATGATAAAAGGTCCTTTCCTTTGTACCAATTTAAACACAAGTCTGCAACAGGCTGTTTCTCTAAATTTTATTCTTAAACTTGCATTTAAAAACCATCTTTTGCTATTGTGTACTTAAAAATGATTAATTAATTCCTAAAAATGAAAAACTAATTATGAGCTGATTCTCATCTGTTTTACAGACCATACAGTCATGATGAGGTGAACAGTGATATATCTACACTACACATAACAATTTCCTTATTTAAAATGTTTTAAGCTTTTAATGCTTAGGAAGTGACAGTAAATTAGAAGTGACAATCAAGGTATGACTAGCCATATGGAATAATTACAGCATAAGAAAAAAAGTGCTTGAGCAGAAACAGTTTTGAAAATAAACTACATATGAAAAGTACTTTTATCTGTGACTTTCCCTTCTCTCCCTGACTTCAGCCTTCTCATTGATGTCTCTCTCTGTCAACTCCAGACAAATCCCATTAGACTTTTGCTGCTGAACAGCAAAACCACAGTTCTCATATTTGGAATTCCATGTCTACTTTTTCCATGAGACAATCACAAGGTAAGTGTAACTTCAATTGGATTGATGTGGCTTTTAGATCTTCAGTTTACCAGACTGTTCTTTCAATGTACTGCTACACTTTTTTTTCACAGGATAATCCTTTAAAAAACATTGATGTTAAACCAGTACACAGCTGGCGTAATAAAGAAGCACAATGTAAATAACATATTGCTATTCCATTTGTTATATATGAACCAAAGTTAAACCACTACAATGTTAAAATACTCAACAAAATGTGGGGTTTACTGTGCCTATCTCTAGTGGACAGTGGTGCCCCACTGACTGAAACCAGACTGAACACAACCTGTCTGTTTCAGGGAAGCAACTGTTTGCACTACACATTGAGAAGCAATTATCTAACAACTGCTGACAGCTCTGCTCTTGGGCACAAAATCCTGCATTTAACCAGCTGCTGCAATTAATGTGCATTCACTTTCATTATTATGTGAATTATTTAGCAGCCAATGACCTTCCATTAAAATTATTGCTACAAATTAGACTCAGAGTACTTCACGAAAACTATAAAAATACAAGACTTTTACCTGTGATGCTATTTCCTATGCTTTGTAGAATATAAATTAGCTCCAAAATAATTCTATATTGAGATTAGTGTTTTAATTAGATTAAAAGGTGAAAACTTTGAGATTAACTTCTGAATATTCCCATTTTTTACTCAGAAGGTCAGCTAAGTCCAAAATATTCTAAATGAAAAATAATAACTAAAAAATAAGTAAATGCATTTAACTATGATGCCTCTTTTCTCAGTAGGCCTCAGCAGAAACCAGTAAAATTTTTCTCCACTGAGCAGAAGTGATTAGAGAGTCAGATGTTTCCCATTCTGCCTCTGTAAACCTACTTATCTGAATGAAAGTTTTCCATAAGGTAATGTAAGCCACAAACAATAGCTGTAGATTCAGCAACTACTTCCACCTAGGCAATTATGAAGCAAGAATTCAATCCTTTTAGGTCTCTCCTATTTAGGGCCTGGATATAAAACTAGTAAGGACAGTCATGATATGAAGTGTAGGGTTGGTGGGGCTAGAAGTATTTTAAACTGTGGAGTAAGTGTGACTTTATTAGGGTTTTTGTTGGAGAATTTGAATGCATAGGAGAGGGGTTTGGGAGCTTGAGGTGAAGGAGCTTTGATCATTGTTTCTGAGTGAGAACTATAATGTAGTTACATGGAAACAAGTAAGAATATGAAGTTATGGATCTTATTTGAGTAAAAGTTGTAGGGCAAGTGGATAAGGTGGAAAAGGACAGAAACATTCTGCATACCAGGTGTCAGCGCCCAGAAACAGCACTGCTGCAGCCCCTGCTTTAGGAGTTCCTGTGCTTTGCCTGTCTCTAAGTATGCTGCTCAAAACTACAGGTGTTATTCTGAGTTAGCACTACACCTGAATGGTAGTATAACCATCTTGTGTGCCTCCTGTACAATGTGCCTCTGTGCACCATATGATGCCTGTTTTAGGAAAGATTTATTGTCTCCTCTTTTATATCAGGTCCAGTCACAAACTGACTGGATTTTTTTCTTCGGTGACATTACCTAGTGATGGATCTTCCATTGTAAATTTATGCATTTGTTTCTTCTTTCCTTATTGGAAACTTGTTCCCACTACACACCATTCAAAAATATTTCCTCATTCTTTCATTTTTTAATGAATTCTAATGTTTTCCACCAAAAGTTCTGCCATCATATGTAGAGATCGTAAGGATTATGATGGGGCTGTCCATTGTGAGCACTATGGAGGTTAAGGTATGCAGTATTTAGAAGAAACTCTATAGAAAAATTTAATTACTAGAACTTACAGAGCTGCCAATGACATCCATCAAGCTAGCTGCAAGGACAAAATCAATCATTATCAAAATCTTCATTTTGGAAGCTGTGAAGTAGAGGAACAATGGAAACACTAGTTAACTTAAACATTAAAACTAAAATTTACACTTGACATCTTAAATCTTATTCAAAAGAGTCTATTTAACCTCTAATTCTTTTCTTGCAAACAGTAAATATTATGTGTATGCAGGATTCATTACAAATGTCTAAAACAGTCTGATAAAATACAACTCCAAAAGCCAGTAAAATGAGATTTTATCCTTTTAGGCCACTTTGTATTAGAGCTCTCCATGTATTTTAGGACAGCTATCCAACATTCAAAAGCACACATTTTCTTTTCAAGACAAAAGCAAAAACATTTTAAACAAACTGAAAAACATGGAAATATTCCTTGTTGGTTCTTTAAATTTGTGAGAAAGATCCCTGTCATACAATTAATTAAAATCTGAATTGGGCTAGTTGTCCTTGATCTAAGGATTTGTGCAAATTTTGTGCACCAGGAGAGGATCAAGGTAATTTTAGTGTCATAGAGTAATTTGGGGGGAAAATGCAAAATAGTTATCAGCTTTTATTCTAATGGTGACAAGAATGACATCCTTAAACTGATAGCTATGGATACTTTGTACTGTGTGACCCATAGCATTTTAAACCCCATTTTCTTGTATGAAAATTATTTTATAGGCAAAACCAATCACCACTGTATCTCACTGCCTTGCAAATGTTAGCTGATAGAATCTCAAAATTGTTTTGTAAGACAGATGTGTGCTTTTCACAGAGGAGAAACCCAGGCCTCCAACCAGTAAAATATTTACAAAGATTATACATAAACTATTCTGAATTAATTACTTAAAATTCTGCAAGCTATCAATTGAGGAATTTTTTTTTCATTTAACTATGAATATTTTCATTTAGCATATGCTAGCACTTAATTAAACCAGAATATGTGTCTACTCTGCTTCCCCTACCTTAGAGTTATTAAGGAAAAGATCTCCATGGTCATCAAGTTGAACCATTAAGTTAATACTAACAGGTCCACAACTAAAGCCTGTCCCTAAGCACCACATCTACATTTTTTGAATGCTTCCAGGGATGGTGACATGTTTGAAGCATGTTTTAGACATGTTTAAAGCATGTTTTTAAAACATTTTTTAGATAAAGTGTAAAACTTATAATAGAGATTAATGATTCAATAGCAGCATGTGTTTATTGAAACACCAACTTTATGAAAATTTCTACTCATGTTTCTACAGGAATAAATATAAAACATGAGTGGAAGTTTTTGGCAGACTGTGCTTTTTACAGTACAAAGATAAGCAAGGTGCTTATAAAAAGTATGTTTTTAAGTTTGTGTAAAATTGGACAAGTCCAACTGTATTTTCACCAATATCTGAAAACTTCATGCAAGACCAGAAATTACAGCCCAGACAAATCTCGAATTTCAACACTTGCCTCTAAAATACTTACGATGCTTTGTAAAATTGCAACTAGTAAAGTTACATTAGTAGTTATAGATATTACAGTTCCTTCTGTTTTGAAAGCAGCTGTTGCCATCTGTTGGGATGACACTGTCTGTGACAGGAGTGACCAAAGAGTACATTGGCTATCTGGACAGCCTGCAAATGATCTGTCTCTGCTAATTGCGTTCCTGAATCCTTGCATATGTTAAATATGTTTTCTAAGAGAGAAGGGACTATTTTCTTCACTGGAAGATTCATATTTCATGTACTTTACTTCATCCCTGTTATTTTAATTATGAAACCACAGTATCTCCCCTCATATTATTCTTAGTATTTGAACTGTTCTATCATGATTTCACTGACTGTGAATGCCTGAATACCACAATCAATCTTAAAAAAAACCCAATCTTAAATGGTTTGCACAACTTTACAACAGTATTCTTATTTTTTTGAAAAAGAGTATCAAGTAAATCTTGGATACTGTTCAGAGAAATTTGTGTTAGCAAAAAAAAAAAATAGAACACTATGAGGTACAATCAAGGCAGGTAAGTTCCTTAAAGCATGTATGAGCTGCTATGAGCAAGCTGCATAAAAAGAATTAATAGCTGAGGAGTGTAGTGTGTGCAGTTGGTTTAGTATGTTATCTTTAGATGCAGTCACCTTTCTATTTAAAGATGCCTCTTTCTACAGAATGTTCCTCTTGTGGGAAGCTTCATAAGGACTGCACTTGGGAGACAACTTATCATGTCAGCTTTAGTGCTGAACTAAAACATGTTCAAAAGATATAGTAAAATATAATAAGCTCATAAATTTCTAAATTTGACAATTTAAATAAATTGGTGAAGGTATTTTAATACTGGAGTTTCATTTTTAAGAAAGCAAGCTGGACAGTAAACTCAAGATGGAGTATTGATCCTATAGCCACTCACAATATAAGCTCACTATGAATGAGAGACAAGAGGCTTATAAAGAGGGAGAAACTGACGCTTCTCTTTGGCAGATCTACCAGTCAGAAACAGGGAAGACTGAAACAGAGAGGACACAGTGGAAAAAAATCCACAGAGGGACCTCTAGGAGGATAGGGGAAATGAATATGTTTATGCTGATGTCCTCCAAAGAAAGGGAGAAGGTAAGAAAGACTAGGAAGAGACCTGAAAACTCGACTTCTGAAAGGAAATGGGTGGCTTAAAAGCATTTCTCTGCTTTTGTCACTGCCCAGCAGGTAGACCCAGACAGGTCAGAGGAGAATCAGCAGTGCTGGTCCAGGACCTCACACCTTTAAGGCAGTTTCTCAGCAGGCATAAACTGCTGCAGTTGGTCTATCTCACAGTCACAGTGACACCGAGTGGTCAACTTTACAGGAACAAGAAAAGTGGTAAAGGGTAGGGTCAAGCCCCTTACATGTTCAAAGCACATTGATACATTAAATCATCAGGTTCAGACATGGAATTAAGTGGGTAATCTTTTACTTAGTTACTTTATTTATTTCTAAAAAAAGTTTCAGTAGAGGTTGTGTTAGTAACAGTTCCCTGAAGGTGCACATCCATGGTATTCAGTAACAGGGAAACCTAAGATTCTGTTCAAGGGAAGCTCAACATATTGCTCTAGGAAGACTCCTTTGAAAGTCAGTTTCTTTAACAAATTTCTTCAGTCCTTTAAATATTTGCCCTTGTTATATAGCTATTTGCTGACAGTACACAATTGAATAAAATCTTTAACTCAAAAAACCTGTAAAAAATTACAAATTTTCATCAGTCACGGACGAACCCGAAGAGTTAGCAACTGTTGAGAGACTTCCAAGACTTGTCTTATAATACCTGTGTTCGTTTAACAAAAAAGAAAAAAAAAACATAAATTTGTACAGGGGATATCCCTTTCCAGGAAAATCTTAATCTCAGACAGTAGACAGGTGGGTTAATTATCACACATCATATGCTAGAGTGAGAAAAGCTTAGTATTATATTTTCAAATTGAAACACAAGCCCTTAATTGTTATCTGAAAAAAAAAAAAATCACTTTCTGTTTTAAACAAATTAAGTGCAACTCTTGGGAAACCTTGAAATTTTATCCCTGGGGTTACTCATTTACTATTCCAAGATTACACCTGGAATATGCATTGTACAGTTAGGCAGATTTTTTTTCCAAAGCTATGGAATAACAATTCTAGAAATACATTTTTTTCTTCCCTGTGCCTAGGCTTTCTTTAAAGGCTACACACAGAGTCAATCCTATATTCACAGTTCCCCTGAATATGATGTTTTTTCCAAGTCTTTAAATAGCAAATTACTAAGTAGATTTGATTACATTAAAGAAGTTGTGCTATGAAAATTTTGAAAATTTAGAATATTTTTATGTTTTTTGAATTTAAGAGACAGCAAACTAGATGGAATACAGATGCCTTTTTCTTTCTGTTGGCACAGTGTCAATAAGACTTGCATTAGTAATAAGTACAATAATAGTAAGAGAGAATTTGCCAAAAGGATAGAAAATGACTGGAAATTTTTTTGTTTGCTTTCTTAAAATTAAAATTATTAAACTCATGCACAGATTTTGTTTTGTTTAAATTTGGTGATGTTACAAAAATTGCCCTGTTTTCCTCATCTGAAAAATAATTCATTATTTTATTTACTTTTAGGTTCTAAAAGCTTGTTCATACAGCAATAAAAATTTAGAAACTGCATATTCAAATAGTCGTTTTATTAACTACCTAGAAATGCAGGAAAATAGCTAGATCCTGCTAAGACATTCATACATCATTATCAATACTGGATCAGTTATATGGCCTTCAAAAACAAATTACTTTTAAACCATAACTATAGAAATTAGCCAAACTTCTTCCTTCCTCCCTCATAGGTACCCTAAATGTTTACCTTTAACTCCTGGACAGAACTCAAAGTTGTTAAATCTTCTTAAGCTGATGCAAATAATTCCAGAGCCCTTCCCAAGCTGCGATTGTTTTTGCTATTAAATGCTGCAGAGTTGAGGCTTACATCTGCTATGAGTCACTGGGCTGGAATGCTGCTGAGAAGCTGCAGTTATCAAGACTAAATTGCAACATAAGAAGGAGATGACGGTAATTCTGTGCCTAACACAACAATTCTTAAACAAAAATAAACCAAAAATAACAAAGGATCATCTATTCTCTTTCACTGTTGTGGTTCAAGAAACTGCTCTCTGTATCATGCTCAGCTTTATACTTCAGTTTTTCCATAGTCACAGACGAAATCTCTTAGGCTTCAGAGGTACATAGAGAGTGTAAGAGACTCAATGGATTTAAGAAAAAAAGCCAATAATCACTCAGACTAGAAGTTACATGTCAGAGGTGTAACAAAAAAAAAAAAAAAAAAAGATAAATTAAACCTTAACCCAAAATAACAAACATAGCACAGATAAAGCCAAAGGGAACATGAAAAAAGTACAAAAAAAAAATCTTGTCTGATGTGTTTTTTAGTCAAGACACTGAGACGCGCAGTGTCTCAGTGACTTTGTCAGACAAATTAATTTTCTATACGAGCTTTTTAAAGCCAGATTAATGTATCAAAGAATGTTTTAAAATACAATCTGTTTTTAGTGTTTGCCCTTCTTCTATGCTGGTTCTTCCCAAGAGTTCAATAAATGAATATGCTTAAAGGAATGTGTTGGAAAAAAAAGAAGTCTTAAGGAAATACTGAATAGCAATAAAATGAGCTTTACATTCTGCAATATAATCAGAATGCTCTGGATTGGAAGGGACCTTAAAAGTTACCTAGTTCCAAACTCTCTGCTATGGGCAGGGACACTTCCCATGAGACCTGGTTGCTCAAAGTCCCATCCAGCCTGGCCTCAAACACTCCCATGGATTGGGCATCTATAATTTCTCTGTTCCACCACCCTCACAGTAAAGAATTTGTTTTTAATATCTAATCTAAACCTACTCTCAGTTTAAAGTCCTTCCCCCTCGTCCTGTCGTTACATGACCTTGTAAGTGGTCTCTCTCCATCTTTTCTCAGAATCACAGAAAGTTCCAAGTTGGAAAGGACTCACAACGATCAATCAGTACAGCTCTTAAGTGAATGGCCCATGTAGGGATCAAACCTGCAACCATGGCTTCGCCAGCACCCACACTCAGACCACTGAGCTAATCCTAGGATCTTGTATTGCCCTTCATGTGCCTCCTATTGAAGACTAATATTTGTTGTAAACTTCCTCAGAATAATTTCTGGTACACTATTTGGAATCTGGTTACCTGGCACTATTTCTCTTTACTCTTACATTACATCCACTAATTAAATTCATATTCTCAATTTTAAATCTTTATTAATTATAGTAAATTACTTGTGAGGAACATACAGTACGAATCATTCAAAAATTCAAAATTATTCAACAAATAATTTTTACTGAGAATCTTACTATAACTAATGACTGTTTCAAGGAGGGATATACCTGTTCATAGTCTTACTTCTAACCAATAGTTACTCAGTGGGTGGGCTCTGAATTTAGAAAGTGGAAAAAAGGCGTGGCATTTTACAGCAGGATTTTTAAAAATAAATTAAATTAAATGAAGAAAATAAAATAAACAGTTTATTGAGGGTTATAAGTAGACTGCCCATCACTCGAGGGTTTTAAACAAAGACTAGATGGCTGAAATACATTACTATGGTTCAGTTAAACAAGAATTATATACAGTGTCAAGTCAAAGATTTGTGTTATTCAAGAAATCTATATGCTACCCATCATCAGAATGTTCTTGTACAAATAAACATATTAAATACGAGACTTTCAAAGAATATACAAATGGATGTCATAGAAGAGAGAAATGTCTTTTTAGACCTGTTGAATACATTCAATACTGAAAACTGGCAAATGTTTGTGACAGACTGGAGGAGGTGGTTGACTTGAAACATTTCAGACTCCTGTGTGGGGAAAGGGGCAGACCAAGTCTTGTCCTGGCAAGGCAACACTCTGCTCCACACACCCCATCCCTGGGGCCTGTATCCCAGCTCCCACAGGGACTGCCAATCCCTGGCACACCAGAGGCCATGCTCCACACCCTGCCCCTGGAGCCCCCAAACCAGCTCCTGACTGGCTACCAGACCAGAAGTCACCTGGGGGAAGGGCCCAGGAAAGCCAAACTGTACCTAAGCCAGAGCACAAGGCACACATATTGTCTGACCCTACCTCCCTTGGGCTTTGATCAGCTCAACACTGCTAGAACGAGAAGTAGTGGCTATATTTGTATCTATTCTCCCCTTTGCTTTGTTCTTTGCCTAATTCCCTCTTCTCAAAGTTTGAGTAACTTAAAATTGGGTGGGTTGGCATTTGCTTGGCTGAATGGGCTGAGAGTGTGCTAAGTTATTGCTTTGTGAAATGTTTTATGTTGATTGAATGTTGTTTTCAACTTTTTGCCAAAGTTCCCTGATTTTCTGAAGTTTGACAGTAAAGTTTCTGTTGTTTTGACCTCTTGAAAAATATCTTGCTGATACTTTCTGGCACACATTTGACTCAGGGTACATAAAAGAATCATCATTCCTTTTAAGAAATTCGCTTTGTGAGATCTGAGGCTCTATAATGTCAGAGATGTTAATGTGACCAGTAAATCCTGGATGTTCTCACAGATATTCAGATTTGCTGTTCTTTGAAGAGTTTGCACTGAGGAAAAGGAAAACATTGCAAGGATCATTAAAAACCCCATCAAGAGACACATAGCTGGAAAGTCAAGGGAGGTGATTCTGCCCCTCTACTCCACTCTCATAGTAAGACCCCATCTGGAGTACTGCATCCAGCTCATAGTCCCCCAGCAAAGGAAAGACATGGCTCTGTTGGAGCAAGCCCAAAGGAGGACACAAAGATATCAGAGGACTGGAGCACCTCTTCTACAAAGACAGGATGAGAGAGATGGGATCATTCAGCTTGGAGAAAAGGAGGAACCAGGGGGATTTCATTACAGCCTTCCAGTACCTAAAGGGAGCTTACAAGAAGGTTGGAGAGAAACTTTTCTCAAGGACATGTACTAATAGGACAAGGAGTAAGGGCTTTAAGTTGAATAAAGAACAGGTTTAGATTAGATATTAGAAAGAAATTGGGAGTGTCTGACTGGGAGGGTGGTCAGACACTGCAACAGACTGCCCAGAGAAGTTGTGGATGCTTCATCCCTAGAAGTGTTCAAGACTGGGTTGGATGTGGCTTTGAGCAACCTGGTCTGGTGGAAGGCGTTCCTGCCTATGGGAGAGAGGTTGGAAGGAGATGATCTTTAAGGTCCCTTCCAAGCCAAATCATTTTATGATTCCATGATTGTAAAATCAGCAAATGCAAGATAATGTATTCATGATATGATTCTTTATCATTCAGACTCAAAAGGAATTGCAAGCATACAATGAGCTTTAATAATACAAGAAACCATATATTCTTCCCTTCTGAGTTGTTACACAGGTGTTAAAATGAGAAAAAAGTATACCTCTAAAGATTATGTGTATGAGTTTTATTCAGGAAAGTTTTAAATCACCTTCAGCTATCACTGTAGAAATATGGAAGGGTCAAAGATTGTACAACCACAATATGGCAACTGTTTTGTCAAAATTTACTTTTATTCTATCTATCATAAATTAATTTGTTTATGCTCTTCTCTGCATTCATTTGTGTAATGCTAAGGGCAAAATAGAGAATATGTAATATATTTCATTCTAGGACTGGCTGAGATTGTGTATTTGAAAATGTGCATCCAACACTGTACATCCACCATAATGAAATGGTCTTTCACATATCTTAAACTGTTACGACAATAAATTGAAAATTTGAAATGGAATATGATGCTTAGTTTCATAACTTAGATGCTAGGCTTTTTTTTTTTTTTTTTTTTTTCTGAGGGGTAAAAGCAAGTAAACAAACAAACAAAACAACCCCAAAACCCATCCTGACCAGCTCTATCAAAATCATGATGTCTGAGTAAACTTAACTTTGGGAGTTTTTTTCTGCAAAACCAGCGCATTATGGAATAGTAATGATGTGGGTATACTCCCATACCAATATTTTGTTTCTGAAACAGAATGAAACTGAAATAAAAGATAAGCCAAACTCAGCTTTGTGACTAAAAAACTCTGCATGTTAGTGTTTTTAAAGGCAGCCTATTTCCAAAAGTGTATATTTAAAAAAAAAAAAAAAAAGCTTCACAATATTTTAAATGTCTTCATTTTTTAGCATGCTGTCTTCAAAATGCTTGTCACAATCGTAATAAAAAGCAGTGATAGAAATAAGTTGCAGCAAAAATACAGCAATCCATCTATGAACTTAAAAAGATTTTGCAATCACCAAACATATTGCACATAGTGATCAGGGCCTATTACTGCAACCTGTAGATGTGTTCTCTAAAGTATGTGATCTCTAAAAGTTACATAATCACATGATCAATTTTAAATGTTACATCAATAAAAGCAATTCTCTAATGAGACCAAGAGTCCAGTCTGAAGAAACAGAATGAAGGCACCTTATTTTTTGATGGATGGATAAAATTTACAAAAATAAATCCGAGTTTTTAAATAATTCACTTCATTTTTGTGCAGTGTTCTAAGAAATAGGTGCATAATTTAGTAATTTAATAATCTATCATTTCACATATATAATACAGTAATCAGCAACGTATCATTATCATGAATAGTAAGACCAGTAAATTCAACATATTTAGACATCATTTTATTATGCATCAAATATGGGAAAAAATCCCCAGTTCTTATTAGAAATAAAAAATAAACAGTCCCTCCCATCTTTTTCAATAGGCAGTAGCAAAGGCAGATACAGCATAGATACATAGGAACACATCACAGAGTTGAAGACCTAACAAACATCTTGGTCTGTACACATCTTTGCAGAATACAGAAAAATAGTGGACTTAGAGAAGGCCCAGAGTAATTCTAAAATAAAAAAAAATTATCACAATAAGTTCCATTGCTGGTGTTTGTATACTATTCATCAACCTCAAAAAAATAACAAATACTTATAAAACTATGTTGTGAGGAAATATATCTGGCAAAGTGACCTGCTCAAGATATTAGTGTGAGTGCCAAGAAAAGAACATGGCCCATAATCTTCTGCCTTATTTAGAAGAACAGCTTACATATCCTGCCTTCTCCTGCCTTCTTTACACAGGAAGCTTCCTGCTGGCCTCAGTTTTCCCTTTGCTCTCTTCAAAGACGTCCTTCTCCTATACTTTCTGAAACATATGTAATGTCTTTGGAAAGGTGCACCAACTAATCCCTCTTCCTTGGTATTGATCAATTTAGTGCTGTTGTCCATTTGTACCAGCCCTAATCAACAGTATAATTGGAACACATAGTGCCAAATCTCTCCCACCAGAAAAAAAAAGGAACCAG